TCATTAACAATTAGTGCAAGATAGTTATTAATTTGATATTTACTTGGTTCATTTGGTCTAGGAATAATACCTAATGTTAAAATGTTATTTGGCTTAAATCTTTCTTCATGTGGCAAATTACACAAAACTCTATATATTACTCCAGTACTGTATAATATATAGTCAAATGGTTGAAACCAATCTATATTAATAATAAGGCTGATATATATATTAAGAATATCATTAGTAAAAAATAGTGTAGGATTATCAGAGTCTATAGTAAAATTACATCAGATATTGCTCTCATATATATCTGAGTATATTCCATCTGGTATATATCTATTTTTAGAATACCGTAATATTTTTTCAAAGCCCACTTACTGATACATCATATAAAGCTGTTGCTTTATACTGCTAACTGAATAAAGTTTAGATAGTCACATTAAAGTACCATCTCTTGTTTTTATTAACACTGCTAATAGTTCATTACAAGCTAATCACTATGTTTTTATTCTATGTTTGAGATATTTAATATATGTACATTTTTTGCATTCTTGTTTGTTAGTACAAATATCTTCTACTACTAATAGGTTATAGAGTTTATGATATTTTGGGTATGTGACATATTTTCTATATTTGGTAGAAATCTCTAAAGATAATTTAATTGTATTTATAGATATCAATAGCTTATCAGCTCCATCTACTTTGTAATGAATTAACATATTTTGAAGAAATTTAATTAATGTATTCAATCTAGTATTAGGTATATTATATCTTTGTTGATATTTTATTATCCACAAAACAATCCAATTCAGTTGTTTATTATCAAAATTAACCAGTGAATTAAAATTTTCTGGATCAATCATTGGTGAAATAAAATTAATCGTATCCTGATCTTGCGAATCTGTAGATAATTTTCTTGAACTACTTAAAGATTTGCTTGGTGTAGGAGAGCTATTAGATTGTTCTTCTGTTAATATCAAAATATCATCTTCATCTGATGGTTGATATATGTCAAATAAATAAGTTTTCTCTAAAGTTTCATCAATATTCATATTATCATCATCATTAATAGGTAAAGGTTCTTTAAATTTTCCTTTAGCCAATCATCTTGTGATTTGTTTTTGAATATCAAAATCATCATCTAAGATATTTATTGAGTCAGTACTAAAATTATTGCTCTCTTCATCATCTTTATCACTTGTTGTGCTACTAGTTTCATCTTCTGAACTATCATTTCCTGAACTATCATTTTCTGAATCATTATTTTTTGAACTATCATTTTCTGAACTATCATTTTCTGAATCATCGCTTTTTGAACCTTTACTTTCTGAATCTTTGCCTTCTGAACCTTCGCTTTTAGAATTTTCATCATGTTGAAGAAATTCAGGAAGTGGCTCTTCTATTTCACGTTTATATTTTATTTTTCTTAATGATAGCAATTGTGTTATGCTTGTACCAGATGGACCAATATTGAGTAAACTCATATGATTAATATAATTTCACTATTCAATATACTTTTTTCTTTTACATTTAGCACAATAGCATAATATTTTTTCTGATATTATTATATTTGTTTATATTAATTTAGTATCAGTTTTATGTTTAATAAATTTTTTGATAGCAATGTTATAATAGTGCAAACGCCTGTCTTAAATACTTTTTAAAATAAATACATAACTATATATAAATTCAATAATAATAAATAACACTTTGAATCTTCTACATTGATTAACTATTTCGATCATTGATTTAATTAATTGTCAAAATTTTTTTTTTTTTTTGATTTTAACACAGGAATTTCTAGAACCTAATACGTTCTTTTTGTTGGAGTTTTAATTGTCCTAAATGATATAAATAAACTATGTAGACAATGACAACATGTTAAAATCTCTTTCTCCAAAATGCATTAATTTCTTTTCTCTTGCAAATAATAAATTTCATAATATAGAAATTTTTGTACTAATTATAAAAACTTTTTTTAATATAATAATATTATGAGTACAGAAAGACGATCGAAGATATGTATAGAATTCTTTGAAGATTCATTGTATAGTTTATATTCATACAATATCTTCTCAAATAAAAAGAAAATTCTTCCTAAAAAAAGGTCGAAGACAAAAGATATTTCTAATAAAAAAAACTATGAATGTTAATATACATTTGAATATATACATAAACTTCTTTGAAAATTTACGACTTACTAATCATGAATCTATCTTCATAGGTGAAAAGAAAATTCTTTGAATTAAATTTACAGGTAAACTGCGTCAAATATTATTACTAAATAAGAATATTCTTAAGAACACTATATGAGCCAATAAGCTTTAGAGAAAATATACTAAAATGTGAAATTTTAAAATTTACTGTTCATGAATATAGCTTCTTAAAAGAAAGAAATATCTTCGAGGTAAATAGTAGAAATTTTCATATAATTTTCTTAATAAATAATACGATAGTATATAATAATAAAAAGAATAATACTAATTTTTGATTATTATCTTCATGATTAAACAGTTAGCTACATATCGTCCTCAGTATAAGGTAAATTATAATGCAATTATTTATTTACTAATATAATTATAGCGATATATATTAATATTTATATGTACAGTATCTGTTATTGTTTAAATTTGAATACAGAATAAATATTAGAAACAATGTTGATCGATTACATGCATATAGCCTCAACGAAAAGTAAATTATTTAATGTAATCTTATTTATCTAATATTATTATAGTGATATGTATACATATCTGTTATTGTTCAGATTTTAATTCGAATACGTACAGAATAAAAATCAGAAACAATGTTATTCAATTACAATTTTAATTTGAGTACAGGAGAACTATTAGGAACAAATATGTGATTAAACTTTTGCTTGCATATTATCCTCAATAAAAAGTAAATTCTTTTATTTAACTAATAAAATTTTTAATTTTGAGTACAGAAGAACTATTAGGAACAATTATGTGTTAACTGTTTACTTGCATATCATCCTCTATGAAAGGTAAATTATTTAATGTAATTTTTATTTAACTAATAAAATTTTAATTTTGAATACAGAAGAACAATATTAATCGATCGCATGCATATTGTCCTCAATGAAAGGTAAATTATTTAATATAATCTTTTGTTTAACTAATAAAATTTTAATTTTGAATACAGAATAAATATCAGGAACAATGTTAATCGATCGTATGCATATCGTCCTCAACGAAAGGTAAATTATTTAATATAATCTTTTGTTTAACTAATAAAATTTTAATTCGAGTATAGAAGAACTATAAAAAACAATTATGTGATTAAACTTTTGCTTGCATATCATCTTCAACGAAAGGTAAAGTATTTAATATAATTATTATTTAACTAATAAAATTTTAATTTGAGTACAGAAGAACTATTAGGAACAATATTGATCGATCGTATGCATATCATCCTTAATGAAAGGTAAAGTATTTAATATAATCATTATTTAACTAATAAAATTTTAATTCAAGTACAGAAGAACTATAAGAAACAATCATGTGATTAAACTTTTGCTTATATATCATCCTCAATGAAAGGTAAAGTATTTAATATAATCATTATTTAACTAATAAAATTTTAATTTGAGTACAGAAGAACTATTAAGAACAATGTTGATTGATTGCATGCATATCATCCTCAATGAAAGATAAAGTATTTAATATAATCTTTATTTAACTAATAAAATTTTAATTTCGAATACAGAAAAACTATAAGAAACAATCATATGATTAAACTTTTGCTTACATATCGTTCTCAACAAAAGGTAAATTATTTAATATAATCTTTTGTTTAATTAATAATAAATAGAAAAATAATGAAATCATTTTAATTAGAAAAAAATTTTAATTAGAAGTCCATAAGACATATATAACTATAATTTTCGAAATTATAAAAAGGAAAGATATCTTCTATCTAAATTTTTATCAAGTCATTTTTCAAACTTCTTCAATTCGTTAATATCTTTCTCATAAAATTCTTTATTATCCTTAAATTCATTAAAATCTTCTCTCAATTTATTTAAATTTATTAAAAAAATGGGTAAAGAAAAGAATCTCCTAATTGTGAAAAGTAGCAAAAGTACTAAAAAAAGAGCAAAAGAGAAAAAAAAGTTCAAAAAGTCTAAAAAATATAAGATATAATCAGCTGATATACTAATATTTTTATTAATATTCATATTTTTTATAGTAACTTCTAAGCTGGTCTCAAAAGCAATTAGTAAGGTAGTAGCTGCCATATTTAGTAAGGGTAAGAGTAAAGAGAAGGATAAAACCTCGTCAAGTTCTGAAAATAATAGAAATAATAATAGTGAGACAGAAACATCAAATAGTTCTAGTAGTTCTAGTAAATCACACAGTTCAAAAGATAAGAGGCAAATGCCAAAAGCATTAACAACAAGCCAATCAGCTCATCTCAGAGTAAGCTTACCCTTAATTTTTTGTGTTTTTCTCCTATTACTTTTATGTTTTAAGTTTACAAGAATAAGATATTAGATTTACTTTTTTTTTTTATTTTTTATTTTATTTTATTTTATTTTATTAATAGGACGAAATAAAAATTTTGATAGAAAGGGGAAAACTATTAGATAAAAAACTGAATTCAAATAAGAATTCGATATCCCAAGCAACCAGTATAAGAAAAGATCTAATTCTATCAATACAGAAGAATTGCTAGGATATCAGCATTATAGTAGTGCAATAGAAAAAATATTGAAGCAACACTATAAGATGCAGAGGCAGACTGCACAGATAAATGCAAATAAGGCATTAAAGAAATACAATCATGCCAGAATAGCATGTAATAGTAAAATAAATGAGGTAAGATAATAATAATAATAATAATAATAATAATAATAATAATAATAATAATAATAATACTATAATAATAATAATAATAATAATAATAATAATAATAATAATAATAATAATAATAATAATATAGGCTGTATCATCACTTCTGATACATCACATTTTTTAAAATAAATTAAAAAGTTTATTAATAATATTAAATCTAATAATTGT